TATTAGTTCCTATGTGAGTGAAGAATGGGGACCCCTATCCTCCAAGTTCGGCACCCCTTTGTGACTGCTCAGGGATTTGAGGGATCGTTTTTCGCTCACTTGGGGGATCCAAGATCGACACAGCCGCTGTACTGTACCGCCGCTGGTGATGACTTCCGTTCGCTGTGTCCCTGAAAAAGAGTCACAAAGGGGTGCCGGACTTGGAGGATAAGGGTGCCCAGAACATCCACTCACTGAATAGGACTAAAAACCATTCTTTTGCAACTGCTGGCGGGAGTTCTGGGCTTACGGTCAAATCCTTCATGATCTGGCTAGTTCGACGGGTTTGGTCTTAAGCGCGGTTAGATATCAATTGGAGACTCCTCGGGTGATCCGAGAAGGAACCGCCCCGAGCCACACTCCGCGAGTGTTCCACCGTGGAGGAACACGGTCCGACCGGTCGAGCGTGGGGAGGGTTGTTTTGGGTGCCGGTTGGCCTTTGCTGTTCGATGTCGGTTCAGGTCAAGTCTTACCCCAGGCCGTTCCGGTTCCGTGTTGGGAACCAAAGCACCCTGTAGGGCGGGATCCTAAAAGCTCGACCTCGAAACGCAGAAAAATTGAAGCCGGTCAAAGCACCTTGTCAAGAGTTCCGGTATGGAAAGCCCATCCGCGTGCGCCGAACCCGCGTGGATGATCTTCTTTCATGTTCCCTCCTGGAGGTGTCCTGTTCTCCGCGTTCTCCGGTGGTCTCCGATTTCTGTGAGGACTTGGTTCAGGTACTGATTGATGCTGGAGCAGCCAAAGATGTGGTGTCTCTCGATGGAAACACACCGCTGCTTTGGGCGATCAAGGAGCGAATTTGCCGAAACCCACGGGGGAAGATGGCGTGAGATTACCGTTGGACCCCCTGCAACTGCCACGAAGCACGGGGGTTCGACCTGGTTCGATCTTAGGTTGGAGGCCAGGTTCGCTATCGTTCGAGTCGCGAACCTTGCTTAGCGAACCGTAGCGATGGCCTCGAACCTACTTGTGATGGCCTCCACCGAGCATGGTGTCCCTGCTGAGCCAACCGGAGCTGATCAGTCTATCAGGACCAGATGCAGTGCGGAAACGAACTCAATCTGGGCGTCGGCCCTTGGAAAACGGAAGCCTTTCGAACATGGAAGTTTGGACTTTCCTGTAGAACCCTCGTCCTCAGGGCCATGTGTCATTTCATTCTTGACCCCCCAAAAAGTCTAGGTGCAATCCACGTGCGGACACCCTTTCATCCCCTTTTCATCCCCCTAACACAGCGGCCGTGAAAAGACATCGCTACGTGTTGGGGTTCTCTCGACCGCAGGAGAGACACGTGGAAGTCGCAGGTCTGTTGCTCGCGCTGAAGGCTGAGATGACCAAGGCTACACGAGATCTCTCGGACAACCTACTGACCACGCCGCTTCACAAGGCGCTCGACGGGGCCGAAGGTCGGCGCTTCGGTCGATGGCCCACAGCTCGGGTCGCAGGAGCCTCCTAGGAGTCCTGTTGCGGTGCGTGGGTGAAGGGGTGGTCGTCCATGGCCTCTGATCTTAGGATAGATAGAGGTGATGGCCTCGGGGTATCCACAAGCCACCGAACGAAGACCAAAACGGAAGGTCCGGTGTTTTTTGATGGTTTTTTAAGATGCTCTCTATAAGACTCGATCAGAGGCAGTTTTTCCGCCGCCTGTCTCGGACGTCTTGCTAGGCCGCGCAGATGGGCGACCGAGAGATGTTGCAGCTGTTGCTGGACCATGGCTGCCCCGTCGATGAGTGCGCCGACGAGCTGACGCCCTTGCACATGGCGACCATGAATGGACATGCCGCAGTGGCCCAACGCCTGATCGATGAAGAGGCGGAGATCAATAAGGCCCACAACGATGGTGGTTGGACGATGAAGATTCGAGGTCGTCTTCCGCGCCGAGGTTCACCCACTGGGGCTATTGTCATACGAATCTGGGCCCTTCTCGAAAGGTGACGGGTGAGTCTGGTGCATGTTCCATGTCTGCGTTTCGGTGGAACGGCCAGGCGTAGGAACGGCCGATGGATACCCGCCGTGGCGATGTCCGCCGCGAGGCCAGCCAGATCGGCATGACGCCCCTGCATATGGCCGCTCGAGAACAGCACTCCGAGTGGCCTGGCCAGTCTCGTCATCAACAGAGTGGGCGGGGGGAGAGAGAAGCCCAGCTTGCTACGATGGAAGGAAATCCCCCGTGGATGGGGCGACCGATCTGGGGGTTCATGGAGCTTTTGGGGCCAAAAACCGCCTTCATCCAGTGGATGTGGATCTGAATCAAGTGCAGCCCTGATCTATCGAGTTGGGGTGGGTGGGTTTCACCCCAACTTCCATCAACTTCCTTCGCAAACCGGGTCTCAAAAGGAGATGGGTGTGGGTGGGTCAAAACCAAAACCATCCAAAACCATATCCTTCGCTACTCTCATTGAGTCTTCAACCGTTCGGTCTCCCAGTTCTGCCGCTCTTCAGGTTGCTGCGTCTCCTGCTACGGCGCCCCGACTGCGCCATCGATGCTGTGGACCGACGGGGGCAAAGTGCCTTGCACCTGGCAGCAGAGCTGGGGCACGTGGAGATGGTGCGAGCGTTGCTGGAGGCTGGAGCACAGAAGGAGCCTGACGATGGTTTTGGGTTGGAGAGCGTGTTTTTCGTGACTTTTTTTTGCGGGGTTTGTGCCATGTGCGGAGGGTGGTTTGGGTTCTCAGCCTCTTGTGGTTGTGTCTTAATACATGTGTTGCAAAAAAGAAAGAGATCCAGCGTGAAGTCTCCGCAAGAAATCCTAGGGAATTCTGGATGTCTCCCGACACCCAGCCGTGGTAACGACCCCTGGGCCTCCAGGTTCGGGAAACAGGATACAGGGGCGAGATTTCGGGAGGTCTCCCTATATTCAACTACCAGCACCCGACTCTACAGGTGCTTCCTGGTGAGCTGGTTTTGGTCGTTTCAACTGAGGAAAGGAGCTGGAAGCTTCCGTGAAATCCCCTTCAATCGGTTGGAATCCCCAAGGCATCAGGTCTGAACCCTCTCGCCCCTCTCCAGCCTCGAGGACCAAGCGGCCGCTGACGGTCGCACACCCGTGCAATTCGCCCGCGGCCATTCGAACGTGGTGCAGCTCTTGCTTCTCAGCTGTTCTCCAAAACCGTTGAGGTTCTCATGTGACCGGGCTGATAGCTTTCAAACGAGCTCGACTGACCTGGTGTCAACCTCGCGACACCACCCGCCGCGCGGGTGGCGGGTCGGACGCGGACATTGGATGGCCGTCCAACTAACCCTTGGACCGTCCTGGCAATGAGTGTCCCCACCCCCGACCTGCGTCAGGTTGCAGGCTGGTGCCGCACCACAGAGGAGCGAGAGGGCAAGGACCAGCGGAAAGGGCAAAGGAGGGCGAGGTGGAAAGAATGGAGGCCTGGTGTTGGGAATGACATTGGGAATGAAGAAACCGTTCAAAACAGATGTGGCTGATTCAGCGGATCTCATGAAGAGGGCGAGAAGGGAGAGAGAGAGAGAGAGACGTGTATATTCCAAGCTGTTTCTGGCGCACTTGCCCCAGCTTGGAGCGATTCAAATGTCTTTGTCCATGTTCATTCTTGCACAACTGTTGGTTTGTTAGAAGCATGATTCTGGTTTGCTTTGCCAAGGAAAGGGCAAGAAAGGCAGCAAAGGTGACCTGTTTCACCAAGCTTGGTACTGCCAGGCATGAAGGCTCTTTGAATCCTGAAAAGGCTTGTCCTGCCAGTCCGCTGCCGCTGCTCACTGTGCTCGTCCCGAATCCTCATAGGTGTTCACGGGGCGAATCCACCGATGTAAAGGATCTCAATGAACACATGGGCCGCTTATAAAACAGGGGACATGCCAACCAATTGATTCATGTCTGTGTTGGATTTGTTCCAGAACTCTTTTAAAAAAATAGGAAGTGTCCCTATATTATGTTCTACACCCCCATATTGGAACATACCCCGGTAAATACCAGAACTGGGTTTTTCGGTGATGCTGGTGTTTGTTTCCGTTTCTCAGGTGCCAGGTGGAGTCTGGTGACTGGGTAAAATATATCTCGACCAATGGTGAAATGTGCTTTCGTTCATCCCCACACTGCTGGGCACGTTCTTCACTTCCCTTTTTTCAGGTTTGAGCATATCAGGTCGATGCGAGCAGCTCGCATCGGCGTGGGTGATGCGTTTCTTCGATGGAGACCCCATCGTCGGTGGCGTTCGACTCCCGTTCGACGGTCTTCGTTCGATCCTCCGTTCTTCGCCTTCAGTCGTAGTTCCTGCACGAGCGAACCTCGGTAAGGAGTGCTACGGCAGCGGCATGTCTTTCCCATGAAGGCGTCTACTAAATGATTTTGGACGAAGCAGCAAGCCCTGACACTTTGAGAAGAAAGGGAACTCGTCTTTGAGTCGACATGCAGAAGCTCTACTGAATGAACCACACAAACAAATCCCTGGCAATTCCAGTGTGGAGATCCACCGCGACGACTTCAGAGCCCGAGCGGTCGACCAGACACTCAAGATCGCCCTGGAGGGGTCTTCTCCCACCCCATTGGTGGGAGGAGGGAGGGAGGAGACCTCACTCAACCAGAACCGATGTGGACACTCTTGAACCGGAATTTCAAGGGACACGACCCGAGTTCGTCACATGTCACAAGCGACCGGGGTAGTCCCAGGGTCAAACGGAGGTGTCGAGAACGTCGGGGTGCCCAGAACGTCACGTCACATCCAGCACCATGGATGGGATGAGCCAAAGCACCCGAGCCGAACACTGTGACTCCTGGAACATGTGCTACGTGCGGGTCGCGAACCTTGCTTAGCTATAGCTACTATAGTATGCCAGGAGTCACAAAGGGGTGCCCAACTTGGAGGTTAGGGGTGCCCCTGTCACATCCACTCACTGGAAGGGACCAAACACCACCCCGACATGTGACCCCTGGTGTATAACCGTTGTTTTTTCTCAACAAGAACAGGAAGGGAAAGTTGGGTTCTGAGAACGTCTGACAGGCTGCCACCGCCGCCGATGCAAGCCAAGCGGTCAGCTGGGGGCCGGCCTTGACCCGGGGAGCGGGACGCCAGTGACGAGAAGCTGGAACCGGTGATCAAGTGGAATCCAAGCATGGTATTAATCGGTTGATTTGGAACTCTTGATGGAGACTCCCTAGGGCTCCTGGCCCATCCCCTCAGGTGACCGGTGGTCTTCGACCCTGGCACCCACCCCAACCCCCACCGAACCGAAACGGAGGTAGGGGCTAGGGGCGGCCTGGAGCCCAAACGGGATGATGGGTGTTACATCGGTGTCACATCGGTCTTTCATCGGTTTGAAGTCTTGACGATGTTGGGGGCAGGATCCTATGAGGCGACCGGGGCATGATCCTGCTGTGGGGATACACTGCACCGCGGATCCTTTTTTTGCTTGGAGCCCCCCTTTGGACCTGCTGGGTGTTTCTTCGCCTTCCGAAGTGGACCTGCTGGGTGAGACCCAACCTGCTGACCCGGGTGGTTTCAGATGTCGCCCGGTGGTGTAGAGAGGTTCGAACTCACAGCCCGTCTAGGGATGGATGTCGCCCATCCCGTATGTACATACCACTATATAATTGGATTGGATCCATAAGGATTGGTCTTGGAACCTCTCTTGGATTGGCTCATATATTGTTTTTCAAGTGGGTTGAAACCACCCAGCAGATCATGCCTGTTCAGGATTCGAACTCAAGCGTGAGTACTTCTGGGGGGTTCCCCAGAAATGACCTGACCTCCCAAATGCATGTCGTCCTCCAATAGGGGCTGCCTTGGCCAAAAGGGGTGCCTGCCACACCTGCAGTTCACATGGAAGAAGCCAGAGAGCTCTTCTTCCTGCCATAGAAAGGGTAGGGAACCATAGAAAGAATTCTTCGGCCAAAGAATTTGGGATTTGGTACTATAGTAGGTTGGAGGCCAACCATCGCTAGTAGGTTGGAGGCCATCCGTAGTAGGTTGGGGGCCATCGCTAGTAAAGTTGGAAGCCGTCGCTAAAGCTAAAGAACCAGCAAGAGATGTTCTGACAGGCTTGACAGGGTCACACGTTCATGCCAACCGTCGGTCTGACCAGGCCCGACACCACTGGCGACCATGCCTTTCCTTTCTGCCCGGACGGGCGGTGGAAGGTGGTCGGGCCGAAGCCGAGCGCCGACCGGGCGGGAAGGGCGTCGCGGGCGGGAGACAGGCAGAGGCGTTCGGTCGGAGTGGCGGCATAGTTGTCTTGGAGTGGCACATGAAGCTACTGCATGGTACTACTAGGCTAGGAGCAAGAAGCTACTAGTAGCAGTTGAGTGGATTGATCTCAAGCTTTTCATGCTGAGCACATCAATTGGTATCCATCCGGGTCCATATCGACCTAGAACCTGAATGACCTCGGTTTTGGACCACCAACCACCCAAAACATGGTCTTCTCCTATCAACACAGGGGTCAAACGTCCGGGTTCCCAGGTCGTTCTATTGGTGTTTTTCGCTACTCCGGGACCATCGACCAAACGCGACGCACGAACCTCCCGGCTCAGCCGTGGTGGGTTGGTTTCCTCTCAGGGCGGAGCGAAGTGTCCATCACGGCCGCCTTTGATGAGGAAGGTGTTTGGTTCGCTTGGGGTGAAGGCGACCGAGTCGACCGCGAGTTCCGCGAAGAAGCCACGACGCGAAGCGGCGGGGACGGGCGGACTGGCCGGTGCTGCGCGGGCCGTCTATCGGTCTATCGTGGTCTATCGTGGTCTATCGGTCTAATGGCAGTCGATGCATCCCGAAGAACGTTTCTTGACCGGTTTCGATCTGGTTTCGGGTTTTGTATGGCTGAGATGAAGTCGAACAACGTTTTTGCACTAGAAAACCAGATCCTTCCCACTTGCTAAAATGATCGTTTTCAGACGGGTCATCACTGCGCTAGTGGCGATGGCCTCGGACGGCGATGGCCTCGGAGTGTGATCCACAAAGCTAAAAATTCGGTTGAGAAGCAAATGGATGTTTCCACAAACAAGCATAATTGTTATATATCTATTATTATTGTAAAGGATCTCAAGCAAACCTGTCCTTTTTGGAACAACCATTTGTCTCGTTCGCTTTGGATTTCTAGGGTTCATGTGTTTTCAGCCTCCCCACCACTCCAAGCCTCCCGGCTTGCTAGGCTGTCCCCCACGCTGGTTGGAGGGCGTCACGCACATCCCTCCCGAACGGGAGCGCCTTCTCCTGGTCGGGCAGACCCGGGCGCGGCCAGTGCCGAGCGCCGCAATGTGGTAGGGAAAGGGGTCGATGAGTCGATGAAAAAGAGATCGTCTCTCACTACCTCCCAGCACCTGCTCAGAAAGCTTGGTCGCCACCCAGGCACGCTCGAACGCCTCCGAAAGCGTAAGCATTGCTCCTGCAAGCTCGCAGCTCGCGAAGCTTACCATCTACCTGTATTGTGCGTCCGGGTTCTGCTTGGATCATGCATCTAGTGCAGGTCGTTGGCGCCGTCCTCGGTCCTTTCCTTCGCCCGAGGCCGCGCCCGGCGGCGCCTTCCGGCGGGGTCTCCGGGCCCTGGCGGAGCTGGTGCCTTGGGCCGACTGGATCCGAGACGGGTGACTCTCCAAGTGGAAGGCAGGGTGGGTGATGCTTTTGTGTCTTGTGGGTGGTTTCTGGGGCGAATCAACATCTCAATCAACTGCATGAAGAGCTGCTGCGAATCGCAGTTCCAATCACACACCAGGTCGATGTCGCGCTCTTTGGCGCGACCTTCACTCCTTGTGATTGGATCCTGAGAGTCAGTGTTCGTTTATTAGGTCTCTTCGAAAGCTTGGCATGAGTGGAAGCAGGAGGCTTGAAAGAAGAACTGAGTAAGGGCGTGTCTTATCATGTTACATGTTACTCCAAAGGATTGGCACAAGGATTTTATGGTCATGTTACATCCCTAGGGCTCCAAGTACCTCATCAGAAGGTCTTTGGACCCTCCTGGCACCCAGCCCAGTCCCACCTTCTCAGGTAGTTGGAGCGCAAGGGCATGTTGCTTTTGTTCTTCATGGCCCTTAGATCCGCACACTTCGACCCCTCAACCCTAAGGCCAGCTGGTCGCCGGAACCGGTGCTGCTACTTCCGGCAGAGGACCGACCTCAGCCTCAAGGCTTCGAAGGATCGAAAGCTTCAAAGACCTACCACACACAGGTCCTGGCACCGTTCTTAAAGGTCAAACAGAACGGCGACCAGCGACCGGCGGCACCGTTGAGGACTTGCTTTGCCTCGACACCTTCGCGCAAGTCTTGGAGGCACGAGAGGGCAGTGAAGGTCTTCCCCGAACGCAGCGCCAGCGCTGGACACGGCCAGTTCCTGTGGACTTGACAGAGTGGACACCGGGCGAAGTTGTGAAGTGTTGACCTAAACCCTAAACCCTTGCCTTTCAGGCGCTGGAAGAGACACCAGGTTGTGTTCCTCAAAAACCAGTGGGCCCAAGACAGGCGCTTTTGGGGATTCTCCCACGTCCCCCCACGTGACACGTCCGTCCATCGGAGCTGGACGCAGGCGGACGTGCCTGTGAGGCCAGCGCACGCATGCGCACGCCTCGTGCACGACGATTCGCGACGGCCGGCCTGGTGGAGCACCGAAAAGGCCCTCGAAGTCAAGGAAGGAAGGACCCAAACACTGTAAACCCGCTTTCTCAAGCTGAAACGAATCATGGTTGCTCCAGCAATTGAAATCCTTTCCTTTGCAGGAGGTTTTATGGCTTATTTCATGTGTGTTTTCCTGGTTGTTTGGGTGTCCGGGTTCGGTTCAAGAGAAGGAAATTGCGAACTTCAGGTCACCTAGTTAGACCATTGCTCTTGATGGAAGAATATGGACTTCGGAAGTGATTTTACTGGTTTGTTCCGCACTGGGCGAAGGCTGACTTGCTGGACTTGGGGACGTGGTTGACCGCACGGAACCCATATCTTTTGTGAGCCAGGCCCAGGCGAATGAGACGAACATGAAAGAACGTGGCTGCACTTGGGAGAGCCACGTCAAGAACACCCCCAGTTCTTGGCAACCATTCATGTAGGGAGAGGAGAACTGAGGAGAAGCAGAGTTTTCATGTGGTCTTTGACATTGATGGCGGACTGGGAAACTACCAGCAGTCTCCACAAAAAATCAGGACCGCCAGAGCAGAGCCCGTTTCGAGGAACCTTCTCCGTTTCGCGTAGACACAGATGTTTCAAGAGATATCTCAGTTCAGAGTTGGGACTGGTTGTTTCCACACGCCCAACCGAAACATGAACAAAATTACGTCCGGCCGCCGAACCGATGACCAATTGGAAGACTTGGTAGTAAAACCTGGGTAATCAGTCAAAGCACCTGCTCCGTCCGGGTCCTTTCGAACCCACCGGGTTTTCGCCGGCGAGGCCCAAAGCCCTGGCACGGCTGCGGGGCTCCGACCGATGGCCTCCAGGCGCTCCGGTGGGTCCGTGCTTTCGAAACGGGAGGGAATTGGGACCGATCCTTCTTTCGGGTCGGACAGGTGGGTGATGGTGGATGTTTCGACAGTCCTCACCTCCACCACAGAAAGGGTGCTTGATAGACACCCTCTACGCATTTGTCCCATCTAAAAACCACCCATTCCGTCGCGCTGGCAGTTATGTTTTATACAAGGGATCTCAAGCTGGCGCCATATTGAAACCACCATGTGGTTTTTGGTCGACAGCGGGTGTCGAACGTTTTGGGATTGCCCACCTCGCCAGGCCGTCCTTTTCGGGAGAGATAGGACCAGCAAGGAAACCTCGCTGAGGCCGCCTCGGACGCCAAATGCAACACCGTCCTTTTTCCTTTTTCTGTTCCCTTCCCATGTTCGTGGTCCTTTTCCTTGTCCTTGTCCTTTTTCCTATTCTTTTGCTTTTCTTCTTTACGCCGTTGCCGCCTGAGGTGCGAAACCGTTCCTTCATGCTTGCGGTCTTTTTTGGCGCGCAGAAAATGATTTTGGGGGGCTTGTTAGAAACTACACTTGTGGCTGTTCAGGAACTTACGGAACTTATAAGTCGGTTACAACTAATTTTGTAGAAGTATATTTTAGAACCTAATTAAACCGAAGTTCTCTAAGTACCGTTTAGAAGCAGTTGTTTAAGTCCTACACGTGCTTTAGCTAATTTGCAAGTGCCACAAGTAAGCCCGACCACCGAATGAGTCGTTTTCCCCCAAAACAGTTGACTGGCCGCAGTAAACCAGGCCGCATCGAACGTGTCCGGGTGTTGTCCAATTGTCCCCTTCAGCCGCAGCCAACCCCCTGTGTCCTCCCTCCTCTCCCTGGCCACGAGTCGTGGCCGCGCTGTCCGCCGCTTCACCGCCGACAGACTCAGCGCCTTTTCCTCCAGTCTGTGTGTCGGCGTTGTCGGCCCTTTTATGCCTTGTCCCGGCCTTGTCCCCCGCTTGGCCCGCCATGTCCGAGGTGGGTTCTTCTTGTGGTTATGAATGCTACAGTGATGCAGCGCTTCAAGCTTGATGTCATCATCGGAAGTTTATCCAACATTGGAACTCAAGGATTGGACAAAAAAACCGCTGAAACTGTTTGGGGTTTATGTTGGGGTAATGACTGGCAGGGACAGAAGGGACACAATGCGGTCGCTCATGCCGTGCAGGCTTCAATGCGGTGGATCCTTCTCAGGCCGGTTGGGGCGCTATGGAAACACAGGAGCTCGTGTTTTTGTGCCAAGCGTTCGGATGAGAATTGGGACCCTAGGCTTCCAACAACCATTAATTTAATAGGCTGAATCCCGAATCAACTAAGGATTTTACACTACAAACACCAGGTCAACCATGTTTTAAATGGTCTTGGAAGCCTAGGGGGGAGTTGTATTTTTTCTGCAGGACATCCTCTTCTCTACAATTTATACTGTCGGACACCCCATCTATAGAGAATCTATGGTTCTAAACTTGGTCCAATAGCAAAGAACTGGATTCCAATGGTCAGTTGTGATGCTGGGCTTGGGGAATTGGCTTGAACCATCTGAGTGCAGCTGGAAGATACCTCCATAAGAAGTACCCAGGAAACCAGAAGAAGCTGTTCACCTGCAGCCTCTTCAGCTGCTTTTCGCCTGTCACTTCTTCTTCAGGTCTTCAAACGAGTTGGGAGGGCACCTGCCAAACTGGAAAAACCAGTGTATCACAACGTGGCAAGCCGGTGGAGCAGCCGCAAAACGCCCCTCGCTCCAGCGGTTCTCAGGTGGCGGGTAGTGCTGCCACGGTGCTGATCGAGCCCTTTGTGGGCGAGGCCTGTGGACCCGGAAGAAGCGGCGCGGGTGAAACGGTGGGGGTTGAACAGCAGGAAAAAGGCCACTGTAGTTACTTGATTGGCCGCAGCAGTGGAGAAGGAAGGACACGAAGGAAATGGTTCGTTCGATCACAGACAAAAGTCTATACCAGCACCTTCCAAGGGACCATCAATGGAAGCCCCAGCCCACCACTAGCTCGGGACCTCCAGCCAGGACACCCCTTGTATACCTGGAACCCATTTGACCTCTGTTTTGATAGGAAGTTTGGCCATATTTGGGGTGGTGGGTGGTCCAGAGGTCAGACTTCAGGTTCTAGGTGGTCGCTCAAGCCGGAACCTTACCGAGCCTCGAACCAACGACCTGGCCTGCGCCGTTTGGGCCTTTTTGGCCTATCTGCATCTGAAACAAGGGTTGGGGTATACGGTACTTTCACAGGTAAACCCACCCCCATAATGTGTTTGTGACAGAAAAGTCTCGATAGACTCCCCTTGCCAAACCATGCTAATGAATTTAGCCCGATGTTCATTTTTGTTGGAGGAGGTCTCTACGAAGGATTCTAGACTACAACACCAGGTGAACCCAACTCTTTGAGTGGTCTTCCCGCAAGGCGACTGGGATCATGACAGAGCTATATCGGCTATATCCCCATCTTCAGCCCCGGCATGTCCAAAGCCCCCGCCTCAGGCGGCGCGCCCCTGGGTGCTGGCTCTTGAGCTCGCGCGCCGACTGAACAAACACCTGTGTCCTAGCCCGAGTGCACGAGTCCTACCGGCAGGTGCCGGTGATGAAAGAGAGGGATTGCCGGAGTTGTTGTTACTAACATGCCAAAAACTCAGAGAGATTTGCATGTGTTGCATCCTTGTTTGTTGTGCTGATTGGTGTGTTTTCTTTGGGGGGTGTCTTTTCTGTCCGATTCGGTCCTGTTCTGAAGGGCCAAGGTTCACGACGTCGAGGCCGCTCCGTTTCGTGGCCGAAAGCGACGTCGAACCGGGGGCTCCGTCCCGCGCAGGAGTCACGATCATGGCGACTCTGGTGGAATGCGCGGGTGGCCCAGGTGGCGCGTGTTGGATCGGTCGCCCGGATCACGAAAAACACATGCTACTTCTATGGCTAGGGCCGCTAGGGCTGGGCCAAGGAACTGGATTCAAGGCCCACCATGGGTTTGAATGGTGTTCCTCTTCACCACCGAGCTGTTTGACTGATTTCACACCTGTCAGGTCAAACTGAAGGCGACCGGGATTCCCGGCGGTCACCTTTTTTGGGCACAAACCCTCGCGGAACTTCGACCAGCGGAACGCTGCTAACGACCTGGGCATATGGGGCAGCAGCGCAGAGGAAAGGAACTCTAAATTGGACATCTCAGGTGACATTCAGTGGGAAGCTATTAGGTGGAGGCCATCGCAAGTAGGTCGGAGGCCATCGCTACTAGTAACAAGAAGCGACGACCGTAACAAAGGGCATCGCGACTCGAACGGAGCAAGGACGCTCCTAGGGACGGCTCCTGGCCTTTCATCGTAGTGTGTCCGATGTTGTGGAACGTGCACCCCTGATCCAGAGAAACAGGTCAGATCGGCAGAATGTTGAGAGATGTAAACGAAAGATTGAAGAAAGACATGTAAAGGAGATCCATCCAACCAAGTTGTTGGTGACTCCTGGGTCGCAGAAATCTTCCTGTCATGTCTTCATCTTGAAAAGCAACCTATTGATGAGAGTGATCCAACCAACCGCAGTGGCGAGCCAAGTGATCCAACTCATCGTCGCTCCTTTTTCGGTTTCGATTCTCATAGGTGGAAGCGAAACTTAATAGAGAGTCTTTCTGAGTGCACAGATGTTCAATGGAAAAAGCAGGGGGTGCACTTGTTCTCACGACAGCCAGAAGCTTCAGGAGCGAAGGAAGTTCGACCACCCTAAAGAACCTAAAAAGAAAGGTGTAAACCCGAAAACTGGTCTATGAAACGCATTTGGATACATCAAAAAAGCTTGTTTCGCTTGTTTCACACGTGTTACGACAGCCATGGCCTGGCGATTGCTCTGTGTTAGTCTGGCGATTGGGCCACTTGGACCGGCCGACCGGCCGTTGAAACGGACCGTCCGTCATCGGTTAGACCGTCCAAACAACCACACGGACCGTCTCAGTGCCTGGGCGGGACATCTGCTAGGCAGGAGATGTTGCGACGAAGCCAGACACGTCGGTCGCGGACGGGTCGGTCCCAATTTGGGTTTAGACGTCCAAGCGGACGTCGAGTGGGGAGTGAAAGGTTCGGACATGGAGAAAACCCCTACTGCAACCCAGCCTGCGGCTTCCTTGCGTCTTCCAAAGCTCGAAGCTTTGGGTGAGAAGAGCGCCCCCTGAGTTCCTGGTTCGGACAAAACCTCCAAATTCAATACGGTCAAAAGCTTTTGATCCGAAGAATTCGATGGTCGTAGATTCTAGATTCTGTCCAAGCAGGTTATGCTTCTTACACTTGGCAATCGTCTCCCGGTCATCAATCGTTTAACAGTGGAACATATACGGCAACGCCACTCTGCTGCTGCTGAGTGCGTTGCTTTGAGCGGTCCGCGATCACAGTGGAACCATGTCCCTGATGAGGCTGAGTCGGTCGGACACAAAGACACCCCCTCCCCCTCATCATCTGCACGAAAAAAGATTGGGATTGCATATGTCGACATGTTGAAAAACAAAAAAACGGTCGTCGTGGGCAATGTCTTTAGACCCGAAGAGCAATGTCCTGTCCGCCTGGTGGGGGTTTTTCATATATAGCCGGCCTTGGACTTCGAGAAAGCGATTCTTGTTCGGGATGCCCCGAAACAGGGTCTGATTTCCCAGTTTGATGGTACAAAAGATCAAAGGCTGGAGGATGTCCTGCTCATGTCCTTCGCAGATTTATCACACCTGAGTCTTCAGTGTTCTTGGGCATCCTGAACCCGTGTAGGTGCCCAACAAATCTCATCGCGCCCGGCGCCGCATTGACATCTTCACTGATTCTACACGTGCGCACCATGCAGAGATTGACAGACGGTCCATACTGACGGAAGTCCAGATAGTCGGTCTGAAACGATGAGCCGTCCGAAGAGTTGCAACTTCAGCCACGGGTCCCGTGCCACGGGTCCTGCGGGTGCGGTATCTCCTGTTGGCCCGTTTTGGTCGGACTCCATCGGAGTCCGGACTCGAGGTGGAAGGAACGCACACGTTCGCAACCATCGACGTTCGCACTGGCCCATCGTCTTTGGGATTTTGCCTGTTCACCTAGTCTATATGTGTATGTTCCAACTAGGAAGGCTCTTGAAGGCTCTTGTGTTGGTGGGTTGAAGGTGGGAGTGGAGAATCATACGGCCTGCCACGTTCCCCATGCCGCGCATCGTGGACTTCCGAGGCATGCCGCCTCGATGGAGCTGGTGCGCCTCGGCTGGACGGTGGGGTCGGACCGTGGGGGGGGCTCCTCACCACGGTCGCGTGGGGGTGGAAAGAGACCAGAAGAAGCATGGAGGCAGTTGGAGACCTTGCTCCAGGTTCGCCCTGATAGGGTTGGAGAGAGGAGACTGGCTGTCCGTTGCCTGTGGAGCCGGAATCAGCACAGCCATGGGCCCACCAAGCAGCAAGTCGTGCCTCTTGGTAGATGGATAGAATTCGGACTGAGAAGGAAGGAAATACGTGTTTTCAGCTACAAAATGAGTGGAAAGATCGGATTGCGAGCATGGTCAGAAGTTCGAGGGGGGCTACGCCGCCATGTATGACTTCCTTTATGACCATCGTCTCTTTGGGAACCTCCCAACCCCTCTTCTCACCGCGACGAGAGACCGCGTGGACGAAGTGGTGGGACCCGAGAGGGTCCGCGGACGAGACGGCACCAAAGGTGGCGAAGCGCGAAGTCGCGACGCCAAGGAGTGAGAACTTTGATGATGCGATCCAAAGCGCTCAGAAGAATCTCGGAACGCCTTACGTGGAAGATGGGGCGTGTCTTTTCAATGGTTTTCGTGCACGATCTGCGTGTTCCGGAAACTGCTTCCCTTTCTCGCCCCGTGAAAGCACCATTGAAATCTCATAGCCTGAATCCCGGACAACCGTGCTGTTCTAGTCAGGATTTCACACTCCAAAACCAGGTCGTTCTCATTGGTTAAAGGCTGGGGGGGCTTCCAGTTCATCTTTGTTCTCGTCCGTCCCGCCATCCCGCCGTCCCGTCGCAGGAACGCCTTCGTTCTCTTCTGCTCCGACTTCTGCCCCTGGTGCAAGAACTACCTGAATGCGCCTCGCTTCCCTTGCTATTCGGTTGGAGGCCATCCCTTTTAGGTTGGAGGCCATCGCTATTACAGTAATGTTGGATCTTGATTAGTAAAGAGGCCCCCATCAAACAAATGGGGGGACCTCTTTAATAAACTACCACCAAAACAAATCTGGGTTCCTGGGAGGATTCCTTTTGTAATTGATTGTAGTATTCATTTTCCTTTCTGAGGTTCTTTGTAATTAGATATTCTCAGCAACCCTTTTCCTTTGCAGTTTGCAGTCTCAGATCTTCAGCAGATCTTGAGGACTACTACCTTGAAAATTTGTTTACGAGCAATCTTTATTTAAAGGTTTGATTATGGAATTGATGGCTTTGGGAAGCTGTGAGTTTTGAAGAACCAAAGAAACCGATGATTACCAATAATACTCTCAGCAAGCCAGCTATTGGCTATTGGATTTGAAACTCTCATTTTTCAGATTATGACACATTAGGGTCCCCAAATTTTTGCATAATAGAGAATCCTTAAAACAAGCATGGGGTCAAAAATTACTTTTCAACGTTTAGCATTATAGAGGGCCCTATTACTAATCAGCATCCAACATTAGATCGGAGGCCATCGCTGTTTGGTTGGTGGCCATGGCTATTAGGTTGGAGCCCATGCATCGCTTTTGGATTGGAGGCCATTGCTATGTGTTTAACCACGCTGTTTGGGTTGAACCGACCGGTGGAGAGTGTGTGGGGTTCGGAGAAGGTCCC